TTCACACCTGCCTAAAACTTTTGCACAGTACTATATATATAGCCATTTTGTGCATCTCTAGTACATAAAAATGTATGTCATAAAAGATCTGTTAGAGTTGAATGCTCATGTTTTTTGGTAGGTTAATACATCTAACAATCTAGTAGTGAACATTGTATTATCTTTGTGATAAAATATATTTGTGTTTCTATAGTGAATTATGAGAGTTCTGATGTTATCTTATATTTTGCATTAACTTCTGGGCAATACTCTGCTAAGCCTATCAGATCTGGCTTGTAAAAATCCAGACAACCACTAGTTGACTGCAAAGAGATGGCCTATTGCCATTTATAATCCTATGGATTTTTGTAGCCCAGGTACAGAGCCCTAATGGAAAAATCAAGACTGCATTCACGTCTTGAGCAATGCACCTTGTTCATCTTCTGGCACACAAATGGAAAGACCAGCTCTGACTGTATTTGAAATAGAAGGATTGAGTGTCATGAACCTATGAAAAATACTGTGTGATTATGCTCTTTCTGCATTTAAGGAAAACAGATTTTCTCAAAACAAGTTTGATACCTGTCTGATTAATTTTTTTGTCAGAAATGCAGAAATGGCTTGCCCTTGCCTTCTTGGATATTTTTTTCACTCTATTCCCTAGTAGTCTCCCATCCATATACTAGGAATTCAACTCCTGCTCAGCTTCTTCCTCCTTCTCTCTCTCTCTCTCTCTCTCTCTCTCGATATCAGTCACCATCAGGTGCTACAATCTGCTCTGACCTTACTGTGTCCCTGCATGCAATTATGCCCCATATGATAATGATACTTACTGCTAAGCCAGCTGTGTTTTCCTGTTTACCTCTGCTTCCCCTTCCCTCCTCCCTCTTGTTTCCCCTATGTCAAATGTTATCTTCACTTTTCAAATGCTATGGCTAGTAGTTGAGTTAGCCAGCTACATAAACAAATGTTTGCAAGAATGACAGTCTTGACAGTCTTTGTACAAGCATCTTTCTTTTCCTACTTAGCTGGAATGCAATCCTATACCTTAATTATTCTTTATATTGATACTTGAATAGTATTCTAACCTATCAATTTTTAAGGTATGTGACATTTAGAGATATTTATGACCATGATTCATTCCCTCCCTCCCCCATTCCTTTAGGTCCCATTAGCAGTATTTTGGTGAATCGTTTTGGTAGCCGACCGGTGGTCATATTTGGAGGGCTACTATGTGGCATAGGAATGGTTTCGGCGGCATTCTGCACCAGCATTTTTCAACTATACATTTGTGCTGGATTCATCACAGGTATTTTTTTTTTCTTTTCCATAGAAGATATGTCCCAAGAGAAGACCCCATAGATACCAAATGGTTTTCATTTACCTACTGCCTAGAAAACTGCCATATTCTGACTATGGTGTTGTATATCTGCAGATTGCCCTGGTAACATAAGGCCCAGTCAGCTCTTACGATCACAAAGTCTATTTAGCCATTTTGTCAAAAGTGCAAGACAAATTGTCAAGAGTCAAATGAGAATCTGAACAAAAAAACATACATAATTCTCCTGAGCCCCCACCTTCCTTCAAGATCTACTCTGATGGATTGGACACTTTGGCATATATTTTGGTGAACAGGTTCAGTGAGCTGCAGATGGCAGAGAAAACCTTTCTCCAGTAGCATATCTTGGATGGTTTTCACCATCCTCTTCATCACGTTCTTGTCCTTATTAGTATGTTACTTTGGGCTCGTCCCAGAGAAGAAGCAGTATAAATATAAAATAAAAAGTAAGCACTTAGTACTTGGTGGTATCAAGTGGAATCAAGAACTGACTATTCTAATTTAAGAAAAGTTGTCTAATTTCCTGACTACTGTGTCCTCAAAAACTTCCATGACAATATTTTTTCAGAACAAGTTCAGAAATGTGGTGTAAAGAGCAAGAGTAGCTGCCAGACCTCTTTATTTCACATGCTGGTCATGGTTTATAATAGACCTAGAAAATAGATATGATTTGCTTTGTTTTCAAAGTACAATCATGAACCTTCTCCTATAAAATGTTTGTCCGCTTATATGGTATTTTTGGCTCCTGTCATGACTGCAAAATAATGGCTTTTCATAGCAGTTTATTCTTCAAGTAGGCTTGTTTGGAATCCAGCCTATGTATAGAATGTTGTTATAGATTTTGTTAGCAAACTTATTACTTCTGAAAAGTTTATTAAAAACAAATCTGCATATCCGTTTTCATGCAGCTGATTTTTAGAAATATTTGACCTATAAATATGTCAACCTTCCTAGGCCTGGTGATGCTGGCTGGAATTTTGGGATGCATAATCTCAACACACGTAGACCATTAAGTTGAGGAATCTTGAGTTAGGGCAGATCTTCACACTATGCACAAGTAGATTTAGTAATACGCTCCTGGCACAGAATTGTTTGGAACAGATTGAACTGGTTACTCTCTATGATAACAGAACATTTTTTTTGTCTGATGAGGTATCTTTCCTCTTTCTTACTCTCTCACTACAGGACTTGGCCTTGCCCTGAACCTCCAGCCTTCAGTGATCATTGTTGGAAAGTATTTCCTGAAAAGACGTCCCATTGCGAATGGACTTGCCATGGCAGGAAGTCCTGTCATGCTTTGCACCCTTGCACCCTTGAATCAGTTTCTTTTTGACACTTTTGGATGGAGAGGGAGCTTTTTTATTCTTGGAGCAATTCTGATGAACTGCTGTGTAGCTGGAGCCCTCTTCAGGCCTATTGGACCAACCCCTGACAGACAAATAAATAAACAACCAAAAGAGGCTCAAGAAAACCCTGAAGGAGGCATTGCTGAAATGGGGGACCAGGATATGGAAACAAAGGAAGACAGAGATCATTGTGAAAACTTCAACAAGTACCTTGATTTATCCCTTTTTAAGCACAGAGGCTTCCTGATCTATCTGATAGGAAATGTGATAATGTTTTTAGGTTTTTTTGCACCGATTGTCTTTTTGGCTCCTTATGCAAAGCACCGTGGGATCGATGAATATTCAGCAGCTTTCCTCCTTTCAATTCTAGCAATAGTTGATATGATAGCCAGACCAACGACTGGGCTCATTGCGAATAGCAAATGGGTGAGGCCAAGAATTCAGTATTTTTTCAGCTTCTCCATTGCTTTTAATGGCGTTTGCCATCTGCTGTGCCCATTGGCAACAAGCTACTTGGGCTTAGTCATTTATTCTATCTTTTTTGGACTGGCTTTTGGTATGGTATGTGCAATGCTCTTTGAAACTCTCATGGATCTTGTTGGTGCCAGCCGTTTCACAAGTGCTGTTGGACTAGTCACCATAGTGGAATGTTGTACCATATTACTTGGGCCACCTATTGGGGGTAAGAACATTTATATTCTTCTTTCTATTAGTCTGCTCAATAATAAAAATCATTACTTTTGATTTCAAGGAGGAAGCATTAGATGTTAAGGCTTTTCCTCCTACTTTTAAAATCTGATTTTCCTGATTCTGCTTTGCTCTGATCAATTCCACATTCTTTGAAGTTTTCAAATTTCATTTAAACTAGGTTTATCAGAAGTATGCCTCAAGGAATAAAACTATCGCTCAACAAAAAAATCCAGTCCCTTGGAATTTTCCATACATTAAAATGGATGTTGCAGAACTGAACTGTCAAAACCAGCTGAAGGCTGCTTTAAAAATCAGTTTAGATGAACCTTACTAAATGAATGTTCTACACCTTGCAAAACCTCAAATTCCTTTGCCAATAAGCTAATAGTTAGATTAGACTTTGGATAAAGATTAGCATAATAGATTATATTCATGTAATTTCTTTTAGTAAATCTAGAAATAGGTTCTCTGTGCATTATATTTCTGTACTGCTCAGTAGTAGTTAATTGTTCACAACATAAAATATACAAATAAACAGCAGTGTGAAGATAAGACAAACAACAGCCATAAGATAAAACCAACACCAGTCAGGGATACTTGTGGTATGTAAGCCAGTCTTTGTGATAGTTAAAGTGTTGGATTAGGACTGAGCAGACCCAGGTTCACCATCATGGAAACATGTTTAGTGACTTCAGCCAGCCATTCTTCCTGAGCTCATAAAGCCTCACAAGGTTGCTACTGCGGGGATAAAATGATTCTCATGTAAGTCATCCTGAGTTCTTGGAGAAAAGGTGAGACCTAATCAATAAATTCCCACAGTACCCTGGAAACAGTGCTTTCATATCTGAACTGCAAACATCCAGATGACCACTGGATGATGTTAAAATATATAGATAGTTCCAATTCTTCATGACCATCTAGCAATCATTCACTTCGTTTATGAGAATACTTACTGGAATACTATTTACATGCTGAAGAAATATATTTATCATAGTTATGTTTAGCAATTTCATAAAACATTTGAAATCTTTATCAGAGGATAGAGCTAAGGTAAGATGAAATGGATACAGCCAGATCAAATGCAAATGCTTGATTTTCTTAATAAATTCTTGGGGACCACTACTGGTAAGACCATCACCTTAGAAGCATAGAATGTTTGAGTTACAGATCAACTAATCCAATTCCCTGGTTATTGCAGGAATCCACTAAACTATCTCTGACAGCCATCTCTATCTGAAAACCACAAGCAAGAGAGAATCCACTGCGTAACAGCTTTTACGTGCCCAGCTCCTTTTAGTTTATTTCAGGATGATTTAGCTAGATTTTAAATGCTTACAAAGTTATTAGATACAGGATATTTCTGAATGTGTTGTTTCTATTCAAGAATAAAAGTATTGTTGAATCAAGGAATTGAAGGATCAGTTCTGCAGGTTCAGAACTACTGCAGTCTGTATTAAATTATTGCTACCCTGGTTTGCTGTTAAGCATTGTGGTTGGGATCCACAAATCAGAAAAATGGCTCCACAGGATTTAATTTCACTTAACCCTGTTGACTGTAGTGGGACTAAAATGGCTTTGGAAAAAAATCTGCAACTTAAATGCATGTGGTGTAAATGATAGAATAATTAAAATACAGATGTTCAGTGGATAATGATACTCCAACTTATACCAGATGACCACTAATTGTCAGATAAGAGAAAAGGAACCTCAGATTTCAAGGGCTTTACAAAAAACATTTATTATTCAATTATCCTTCTTTTTCAGAGCAGCTCACTTCTTTCTTTCTGCCCTTTGAGTGAGAGGTCATCATGCATGTTTTCTTCAGCATGCAGTTTTAAGAAGCAGATTATGGCTAATTGCTGAAGACTGTTAATGAGGCTAGAAAGTGCTTTATAATAGTTTGCGATATGAGTTCAGTATGTTTGCTCCCAATTTAATAAGTGGCAAATTGATTGGTTCTTTGGCATTTAATAACCTACTACTGGGTTTTGCTTTAATGAACTAAGTAATTTTTTCCTGGTGTGTTTTATGACTTTCTCTTATTCTCAAAGGAGGTGGTGGCAAGACTCTTCTACTGTTGAATTTTCCAATGCTCTTCTCATTAAAACTCTCATTGAAATATATTTTGCAGATCTTAAGGTCATCCTGATTAGCAGAAATTGAGAATAGCTGCAATTAGCCTCTGTTTGATGTTTTTGCTAATGCTACTGCATTAAAGCATGAATGTGGGCTATGTTGCTCCTTGGTGCAGTATTTTTATCCACCCAAAGTTGGAAGCATCTCATCTTTGTTACGAAATGTGTAGTTCGTTTGATTATACATAAGAATAATTAATACCATACTTTCAATAAATTGTCATCAAGGTGGTCATTAAAAGCACTGTGTCTCAAGGACAAGAAAATGGTCAAAGAATACATTGATTGCACATTAATTTGGAGGATGAAATGCATGCAAAAAAAAAAAAAAGCAAAATAGTGCCAAAAATACTGATTAAAAATTAGCCTATGATTTGCAGATACTTCTTATTTTAAGGAAAGCCCATCAATTGTGAAATTAAGTAGATACAACTTTCTCTAAACATTTTAGAAATCTAGATTCAAAGCTTGTCTGAAATATGGTAGCTTCACTCTATTTTGATCATCAAAGTATCACTAATAAATTGATTAAGATGTCATTTCTCCATTCACAGGAACTCTTATTGACACCTTTGGGGACTACAAATACATGTTCATTAAATGTGGGGCAGTGATGGTCTTGGCTGGAGCATTCCTCTTCATTATGAATTACTACAACTACAGAATGCTTGCAAAAGAAGAAAAGAAAAGGAAGAAGGAAGAAAAACAGAAAGATTATGAGCATGCAAGGACAGAAATTGAGAAAGGAAACTTAACAGTGGTAGAAAAAATGCAAGATGGTAATGAAACAGTTCCTTTCAAGAGTGATGAGAATGGACTAAAGAATGGGGCAAACCTCCCAACTGAAGCCTAAATCTAATTCAAAATTTTCTGAATGGAAAATTGGTCTTTAAAGTGACTGAAAAATATAGTATGAAATCAAGTTCTAAAATAACTAGTCACATTTTATATGAGTACATGGCAAATATTACTTAGAGCTGGTTTTACATTACTGCAAATCTAAATCTGTTTAAACTTTCTTGTTCTTACTGAGGAGCTGAGAATATACTTGTCCTAGCTAATGATAAATATTTTCAGGATAATTGTTTATACTGGAACTTACAACTTGGACTCCTGTTTCTATTATAACAAAAAATAGAACAGTGGAAAAATATTGTATAAGAGAAGATGCAAGATTTTCAAAAGATGCACAGCAATAGATATCCACAGCACTTTTTAGACTGGAAGATCCAAGATTTGGCCCTTAACATTCCAGTAAAAAATACCATGTCTGCAAAAAGTTTCTATAAGAAGAATCTCAAAGAAGTAAAAATAATCAATATTTTTCTTCCAGGATACTTTTGGATTGCTCTGTATTGATGGTAATCTGGTACATGGAACAAAAGAGTGAGGTGTGCTTGTAGTCAGGAAAGAGAACTCGAGGAGACAGTTGTCTTTTCACAATGTTGATGAGTCCATTGATTTGAACAGACACATTTTAGGGATTGAAGCCTAAAACAACTGAATATAATGAATTTACCTAAGAAAGAACATTATTCATGGCTAATCACTAAGTTTGCAATTCCATTTTACTTCTCTTGACTTTATCTGGTGCGTTTGGCAAAATTAAAACCCTTCATCACCAAATGTTCTTCTGCTGTGAGGCAGAAGTCACAGTCTGCAGCCCTAGCCTCCCAGCTCCTTTTTCTGTGGCTCAGCCATAGTTGCCAAAAATCAGTGACATAGTTTAGGGAATAAGCATATGGAAACTACAGGTAAAAAAAGAAAAAGAAAAAAGAAAAACCCAATTTCTCCATCCCCAAAGGAGTCTTATTCCCAGCCATATATGTATAATATGATTCTATTTTGCATCATCAGTCTCTCCCTGGGTGGCGGTGGTATCATCATCATCATCATCATCATCATCATCATCATCATCATCATGATGTATTTGTTGTAAAGGACTTGCTATCTCTAATTAAAACAGCACAAATGTAGATAACTGCTAAGGTAAATGTTCTAGGTGATGCTTTATCCTAGTAAGCCTGAATTAAGATCTTTTGCACAAGATACTGTAGCTGTTTCCCAGAATGAAGTTGAAGTGCTAACCATCAGTCCTTGAACTGACAGAAAAATATGGTGGCATAAATTGTGCTGCCCCCACTGCTGCTGCTGCTGCTGCTACAACAAAGCTAGTGAATGGTCCTGTTCTTACTTATTTGTTGTCAGCCACGTTAAGGAGAGGGTTTAGTTGATTCTCCTAGCATCTACTGCTTCCTGCCAAGCATCATCTGCCAGTGGGGATAAAACTACCAATCGCTGTTCCTAATGTGGGGTGCGGCAGGATTAGATGAGTGTAGGCAGATGCTTAAAATGGTGTGCTTAGGTACCTGTCAAGTTGCCCAATTAACAAGTGCCATGTACTTGGGATGGGGGTTGAAGCAAGGAGGAGTTTTCCCATTGCTCCTGATAACCTCTCCTTCATGCCTACTACCTGTCAGTTCTATTTATGAAACTAGGTACAGTGCTCTTGTAAATACTGGTTTTTATAAGATACTCATGTAAGAAGTGCTACATGTTATGGAATATACCAGATGGCATGATGCAGGCAGATGAGTGTGATCCCTCCTGGGGTGTAAGCCAAAATAGCCATGGAGGGCAGTGGCCAATAAAAACTGGGCAGGCCCTGGTCACTGCCTGCATCAGCTGCCAAACAGTTGGTGAAGCATGCCAGATCGAACCCACAGCAAAAATTGAGTTGGAAGAAGAAGGAAAACTCTTGAAAGCTACGATCTTAATTTTTTTCCTATTTATTTTATTAAAATTTGAATATATATATATATTCAAATGCAAATAGAAACAGTTAAGAGAATAAAAGTAAAGCAAACTGAATAAGGGATCTAAAAATGTCAAAGAGGTTATAGTTTTCTGGTATAAATTTTGAATGATTGACTAAATCATTGTAAATTACTAAAAATCACAATTAAGTTTAAGCAAGGATAATTATCAAGAACAGAATTGATCAAGTATAAATCACCAGATACAATTATAAACTACAATAGATTCAATCAAAACTGAGAATCTGTTCTACTTTAAATATCCCATACAATTGAAATATTGACCATATACATAGAAAAACTCGAATTTTCAATGAGGTACAAATCCATCTATTGAGTTATAGTCCAGAAATGGTTTCCAATTTGAATTCAATTCTTTGTCAGATTTACTTTTAAAATACAAAGTTATTTTGGGCATTTGGTTAACTGTTCTTCCAGAGAGGGAATCGGAAAACCTTTCTAGTAAGAAGCATATAATGCCCTTGTGGCAGTTAATTGTGATGGAAGGCGTGAGCGGGGAGGATTCTGGAAGGGAGCTTCAAGCTTCAAGCCCCCAGCTGGACTGTGTGAAAGCAAGGAGGAAGAGACTGGCCCCTCCCTAGGGGATTCAGGGTTATAGTTGGTCTCATTGGGAATTAGAGTTAGTCTGGCGAGATTCTGTCTATTAGGTGTTAGCTAATAAAGAAGCTGAGCTGATTTCCGGACTGTCTTGTGCAATTCTTGGGCTGAACCTGACATCAATCCCTAATAGACAGAATCTTGCCAGACTAACTCTAATTCCCCAACGAGAGCAACTATACCCATCAAGCCCTTACGGAGGGGCCAGTCTCTTCCTCCTTACTTTCACACAGTCCAGCTGGGGGCTG